TGTAAGAGGGTACCACAGGCCCAAACTCCCCCGTTCTGCTGCCCCTCCCTGCAGCCCATGCTGGCCACTGAGCCTGTCGGAGCCAGCACACTCCCTGCCTTGGGCCAGGGTTTCCAGGGCGAGTGCAGGAGTTTGGTAAGAGCCAACTCCATGGCACAGCTTGGAAAGATGCTCTGCACAGCACGTAGCATCCCTCTGCCTCCTTGTGCAGCACAGACCTGCTGCAGCCCCCCCAGGCACCACGTGTGCACTCTCTTTGCAAAGCTCACAAGATGAGGGGGCGCAGGGATGGGGCACAAGAGCCCTGCAGAGCCAGAACAGCCAAGGGATCCTCCAGCTGACGTGTGGGTGCTGCCAGGGGCCACGTCACATCCTGGTGGTCACTTGCCTGGCACAGGCTGGCCCCCTGCCACTTCCAAGGGCAAGTAGCTGCAGGAAGCGATGGGGAGGGCCAACACGGTGGCCCAGGGCTACACTTACCCGCAGGTTACTTCCAGGCAAAGTAGCCACCCCGTCTTTCCACTCCAGCACACGGACTGTGCTGCAGGTCTGCACCCCGCTGATCTGGGGAATGACAGTAGCGGTGATGGGCTCACTCCCCGCTCCCCTCTCTGGCCTCTCAGCCCCTGAGCTTCTCTGTGGCTCCCGGGGGAATCGCTGAATTTCTAAGGTGCTCGTGGGAAGGTTGATGGTAGTGGCGTTTGCTTGAGAAGGGAAGAAAGGAAACAAACAACCAGAGGCATACACAGAACATTGAAGTGATGCAAACAAGGCTCGAAGGCAGCACTAAATGACACAGGACAGTCTCCCAGATGAGCGCTCAGCGCTGTGGGCTAACGCACCCACAAGCAGGCAGCGTGACCCAACAAGATCTGCAGGCAGCGATGGCTTGTGCTGGGAAATGGCACCGACACTACCCACAGTCAGGGCTTCCCACTTCAGCCTGACCTCAGACTGGTCCCATGACCAGCGTGCCCTGATGTGGCAGGTATGCACTCAAGAGCTCCCGGACTGCATCTTCCAGTTGTTCGGTTTTTTCCCTGCAGCCCAGTGCCTCTCACCAGTGGGAATCAAGGCTTCGGGAACAGTAAAAATTGGGAGATTAGCTGCTAAAGAACACCCCTGATCTCACCTAACACACATTCTTATTTCACTTGCACACCTCCTGGAAGACACTGGTCCAGTGGGCTGAAAATTTTTGTCCCAACTTTCAAGAAGGGTAAGAAGGATGATCTTGGTAATTACAGGCCTGTCAGTCTCACTCAGTGACAGGTAAAATTACAGAGAAGGTTATTCTGGCAGCTACAGAAAAACACTTGAGAGACAATTCAGTCAGTGGTCACAGCCAACACAGGCTGACAAAGGGAAAGTCCTGCTTAACTAACTTAATTTCGTTTTATCATAAGGTCACCCATTCAAGTTGACTAAGGGAAGCCAGCAGATGTGGGGGGTTTGGATTTTAGCAAAGCTTTTAATACTGCTTCTTACAGTATCCTTCCAGAGAAAGTGTCCAGGATACAGCTAGACAAGTCCACAGTACGGTGGGTGAGCAATCCGCTGACAGGTTGGGCTCAAAGAGTTAATGGAATTACATCAGGCTGGTGGCCAGTAATTCCCCAGCACTCAATTTTAGGGCCAGTGCTCTTTCAAGTTTTTATAAATGATCTGGATGCAGGAGCCAAATGCACGTTAAAGCTGTTTGCAGAGGACACTAAATTAGGAGGAGCTGTGGATGCCCTCGATGGTAGAGAGGTCTTACAGAGAGATCTGGACAGACTGGAGAGCTGAGCAATCACCGACTGTATGAAATTTAACAAGAGCCAAGTGCCACGTTCTGCAGCCGGGACAGGGTAATCCCCGTTATACGTACAAACTGCAGGATGAGAGGCTGGAGGGTGACGCTGCGGAAAGAGAAATGGGCAGTGGGG